GTAACTAAAAACCCAGGCTGGGACGCACCAGGCGGGCCGATGTGATTATGCGTTTTTGCACTTTTCGTGCCGTAGCAAAACTGCGTGGTAATCGAATGCATGCGGATTTTCTGGATTTTGACAGGGAAAGGCAACCCCTCAGGCCCATCATTTTCCAAAACACTGCTCACGAGGGACAATCATTCAAACAATCCGCTGGGTAATGCACCTTTCACGATGCAGCAATCACATAGTGCTCGAGAAATAAACAGTGCAATGTCGGGTTGCCACAACGCAGAAACAAGACACGGCGACCTAAAAAGCATACGGCGATACGGGCTGAGCGCGGCAAGAGCTACGACTGAGATGATGCAGCACGCGAAGAGAAGGCCAGCTGAGGGAAAACGAGGAGGTGATGAAGGAAGGTGCGATTCCCGCACATAACCAGTGCCATCGAAACTACCGATCGGACGCATTCAAGCAATTCGCGGAAGAAAGGCTCTGTGAGTGCTCTCGGAGAAGCATACGCATTTTCGTAGCAACAGGCTACAACTGATCGCCTAATTCCACTCCCCCTTCCCACTGCATCTCGGCGCAACATCGAAAAGCACACCTTGCAGCGCTTGCAAAGCACATCGCGAACAATGTGGCGCCCCGTGATCATGGTTCGCAGCTGCATTTCCGAGTATTCGATGTTGACGACACGGTCGAACAGAAATGCTGGTCCGGTGGAGCCTAAATTTAGCACTGCTACAATGCTTATTAGCATTTTAAAACATTCCCAAGCCAGACAGCCCGTCTCTCCTCCCCTCCGAATTGGCGCTGATCCCCTGCACAGGGAACAGTGGCACACTTCTACTGTCACGGAACCCGCACCGCAACAACACAAGCAGCCCTTTCTGCAACGCTTTTACAACCTCTCGCGGTCGGCGACTCGGACATTCAAGCAGCTTCTCAACAAGTTTCGACCAACTTCTCCCGACTCGTCGATCCATCGCCCCGCCATGGATACGCCTGACCCTTTTTGTTTCGCCGGCCTTCCCC